CTAGGCCTACAGTTGACCCAGCAATACAATTTACTTTTGCTCTAACAACACTCTTATTGATAAAACTAATAATTAGATCTATAGGCTGTGTTATTTTCACAAAGTTACTGGTATTTCTACCGTACGTTAACATCACACGTGACTTGGCAAATAAGTCTAGGGCCTACTACTTACCGGTGTTTTTGTAAGATTTCCGACAAAGTTTACATATCCCCAAAGTCATATCTAAGTTTGACTTGGTAGGAGGCTCATCCCGATCTTTTTTCAAAAATCAAAAATACTTCCACACTTCGCATTTAGTTTTACCCCCGGGATGTGGATATAACTCAGGGATAGCCCCCTGCACATCTCCAATGTCACCGGTACTGTCTGCCATTTTTAAACAAACAAGATGGAGGTGTCAACATGTGCTTTTTAGTATGGGTGCGTTCGATAACCACTCCAACTGTCCAAGGGTGTGTTCGGCAGAGAATATACCGACGATTGATTATATGAAAAAATAATCAATGATCGGCATCGGAGGACATTAAACTGTCGTTAATAGATCCTCATCGATCATCAGTACTACACTAGTGTAAAGCGTAGTGTAAATTCCTGTAGCACTAAAAACCAGCATGATTTTGAAACGTCTTTGATACACCATGCCAAGGTTGGATGTAACGGATAGATGCTGCATTGTAGGCATGAACGAAGCTGATGTATGTCATATTGACATTGCCAGACAAGTTGGTGTGCTCCGAAATACTGTAGACGCCTTGTGGAGACGGTACCAAAAGTTTGGGACCACAAGAGACTGGTCTCGGTCAGGACGTCCATGTGTAATGTCTAATCGGCAGGATTCATTCATCTCTGTGAATGACTCAGAACTGCTTATTTGATGGCTAGAAGTATTCCTGGCCTTAGAAGAATTAGTCCCCAAACAGGACACGTAATGGATTGATTGAACGAGGCATACATTCATGACGTCCAGCCATACGTTCTGCTCTCCAACAACGTCATCATGAAGCACATATTGGTCTAGACGACGCATACACTTCATACAGCAGAAATGGGCACCTTTACCTTTCACAGATGAGTCCAGGTCTCATCTCAACAGCAGGGACGGTCACTCTAGATTGTACCATCGTGTTGGTAAACATTTCCATGACAGTTGTGTGATTCAAAGATATCCATTCGGCATAGCTAGTGTCATGGTGTGGGATGGCATCTCATTTTGTTGCAGAACTGCTCTTGGTTGTGGACAGCACACTTGCAGGCATAAGATACCATGACAAAGTCATCCAGCCTCATGTCCTGCCATTTGTGCAGCAACATAGTACCATGCTGCAACAGGATAATGCTCACCTGCACATCACACAGGTCTTCACAGACTTCTTGATCCAGAACAATGTGAAGTTGCTGCCCTGGCCTGTCACTAGATATGTAGAAGACATGTGGGAGAAGATTCTGCATCGTTTATGTGGCCTCCAAGTTCAGTCATTGACATTACCTGACCTGTCACATGTGTTTGTGAGAATATGGAGCGTATTCCCCAGGCATTTTTCAGAACAATTGTGGCATCAATGAGGCGTCGTTGTCAAGCATGCATTGATTCCAATAGTGGTTATACACAGTATTGACAAGTTTAACTTTGTTTAGAGAATGTCTGTTAAAACCGATCTCGATCCAAGATGCTGCTGATGCAATAACCATATAAATTAAATTGGTGTTAAGTAAAGGTCAGATGAAACTCTGTTAGAAATCTTTTGATGATTTCTTACATACCTCCTTAGTTAAAGCATATTGTACCTATACACATTTCTTTTTTTCGCTAGTATATAAGTATTGTTCTAGTTCTTTCTAGTTGGATATTTCTAATCACAGACAGCCCTGTCTGGTTACCTGTTGGTTGTATGATGACTCAGTGATTTGTGAGACAGATGTTTTAATCCTGCATGGACTTCTTAGGGATTAACCCACCTTGATCTATGACTTGTGTGATATGATAATCTTTGTTCCATGTATCTGTTACATTCTGAGAGCTGTCTAGGTATAACGTTCTTGTTCATCTTTATCTTATAACCTAACATATATAACATTCTTATTCTCCTTTAACTTATAGCTGAAGTTGTATAACATTCACCTTTAACTTATAGCTGAAGATGTATAACATTCACCTTTAACTTATAGCTGAAGTTGTATAACAATCTTATTCTCCTTTAACTTATAGCTGAAGTTGTATAACATTCACCTTTAACTTATAGCTGAAGTGGTATAACATTCACCTTTAACTTATAGCTGAAGTGGTATAACATTCACCTTTAACTTATAGCTGAAGTTGTATAACATTCACCTTTAACTTATAGCTGAATTTGTATAACATTCTTATTCACCTTTAACTTATAGCTGAAGTTGTATAACATTCTTATTCATCTTTAACTTATAGCTGAAGATGTATAACATTCACCTTTAACTTATAGCTGAAGTTGTATAACAATCTTATTCATCTTTAACTTATAGCTGAAGATGTATAACATTCTTATTCATCTTTAACTTATAGCTGAAGTTGTATAACATTCTTATTCACCAATAACTTATAGCTGAAGATGTATAACATTCTTATTCATCTTTAACTTATAGCTGAAGTTGTATAACATTCCTATTCACCAATAACTTATAGCTGAAGTTGTATAACATTTTTATTCACCAATAACTTATAGCTAAAGTTGTATAACATTCTTATTCACCTTTAACTTATAGCTGAAGTTGTATAACAATCTTATTCATCTTTAACTTATAGCTGAAGATGTATAACATTCTTATTCATCTTTAACTTATAGCTGAAGTTGTATAACATTCTTATTCACCAATAACTTATAGCTGAAGATGTATAACATTCTTATTCATCTTTAACTTATAGCTGAAGTTGTATAACATTCCTATTCACCAATAACTTATAGCTGAAGTTGTATAACATTCTTATTCACCTTTAACTTATAGCTGAAGTTGTATAACAATCTTATTCATCTTTAACTTATAGCTGAAGATGTATAACATTCTTATTCATCTTTAACTTATAGCTGAAGTTGTATAACATTCCTATTCACCAATAACTTATAGCTGAAGTTGTATAACAATCTTATTCATCTTTAACTTATAGCTGAAGATGTATAACATTCTTATTCATCTTTAACTTATAGCTGAAGTTGTATAACAATCTTATTCATCTTTAACTTATAGCTGAAGATGTATAACATTCTTATTCATCTTTAACTTATAGCTGAAGTTGTATAACATTCCTATTCACCAATAACTTATAGCTGAAGTTGTATAACATTCTTATTCATCTTTAACTTATAGCTGAAGTTGTATAACATTCCTATTCACCAATAACTTATAGCTGAAGTTGTATAACATTTTTATTCACCAATAACTTATAGCTGAAGTTGTATAACATTCTTATTCACCTTTAACTTATAGCTGAAGATGTATAACATTCTTATTCATCTTTAACTTATAGCTGAAGTTGTATAACATTCTTATTTATCTTTAACTTATAGCTGAAGATGTATAACATTCTTATTCACCTTTAAGTTATAGCTGAAGTTGTATAACATTCACCTTTAACTTATAGCTGAAGTTGTATAACAATCTTATTCATCTTTAACTTATAGCTGAAGTTGTATAACATTCTTATTTATCTTTAACTTATAGCTGAAGATGTATAACATTCTTATTCACCTTTAACTTATAGCTGAAGATGTATAACATTCTTATTCATCTTTAACTTATAGCTGAAGTTGTATAACAATCTTATTCATCTTTAACTTATAGCTGAAGTTGTATAACATTCTTATTTATCTTTAACTTATAGCTGAAGATGTATAACATTCTTATTTATCTTTAACTTATAGCTGAAGATGTATAACATTCTTATTTATCTTTAACTTATAGCTGAAGATGTATAACATTCTTATTCACCTTTAACTTATAGCTGAAGTTGTATAACAATCTTATTCATCTTTAACTTATAGCTGAAGTTGTATAACATTCTTATTCACCTTTAACTTATAGCTGAAGTTGTATAACAATCTTATTCATCTTTAACTTATAGCTGAAGATGTATAACATTCTTATTCATCTTTAACTTATAGCTGAAGATGTATAACATTCTTATTCACCTTTAACTTATAGCTGAAGTTGTATAACAATCTTATTCACCTTTAACTTATAGCTGAAGATGTATAACATTCTTATTCACCTTTAACTTATAGCTGAAGTTGTATAACAATCTTATTCATCTTTAACTTATAGCTGAAGTTGTATAACATTCTTATTTATCTTTAACTTATAGCTGAAGATGTATAACATTCACCTTTAACTTATAGCTGAAGTTGTATAACATTCTTATTTATCTTTAACTTATAGCTGAAGATGTATAACATTCACCTTTAACTTATAGCTGAAGTTGTATAACATTCACCTGTAACTTATAGCTGAAGATGTTAGTTGTATAACTTATATATGGTATGAACTGGTTAATCACCACAGAGGTTCTACAGTTTACTGTAAATTGTCACCAGGTATAGACGCAACATACACATGGTTGTCATGGTTGCCACATATAGAAAGTCACTATATAGGGTTGTTTTATTAATAGTACATTATACCACAGAATAGTGACTTTCTATCCGATGTATGTACAAGTTTGTTGTGATAACAGAAATGACCGGTTTACCTGTTATTTAAATAAGGATGTGTACATGTTGTTTACTATGTTTACAAAGTCATCTGGTCCTGTGTTATAAACATTCCTGTTTTGTCTAGCAAATGTCACAGCAATTTGAGAGGGAACATTAAGTCAATTGTAAAGCTAGCCATCGCGCAGGATTTAGTCTGTAACATTTAATTCTGTGTACTGTTATATAGAGCAAGCTGTTGTTCATGAAATATTGAACACTTGTGTAGAATGGCGGACAGATATTGACTGTTTTGTCATTTTGCTGTGTACATTTTTACAGGTCACAGATTTTAGGGTCATCTGATGTCTTTGCTGCTGTGATATGATGAAAGATGGGGAAAGACAAAAGAAGAGACAGTGGTGCCAGTGGTATGTTTCTGTGTTGGATTTTCTTCTGTGTTATTTTCCTAAATATTCCGTATCAATATTACCAAAAGAATCCAAACTCCATCTATTGTCTCTCTTTAGATGTATAATATTGATATTTACCTGTAATTTATAGCTGAAGATGTATTACATTCTTATTCACCTATAATTTATAACTTCATCTGTTGTCTCCCATTTGATATTTACATTACATTTTGTCAAGACACTTCATAAACTGGTGCTATAGGTACACATGATTATGACAGTGGAGATGTCCTAATTTCATTTTCTGAAGTGAATGCCTGTTCCTAAATAGTTTGTAGAATGTTTGATTACTGATCCAGAAATGTTCAGTAGGTAAGCTCCATGTATGTAAACATGTAGACATGGTAGACCTTCAGGAGGTAAAAACATGTAGACATGGTAAACCTTCAGGAGGTAAAAACATGTAGACATGGTACACCTTCAGGAGGTAAAAACATGTAGACATGGTACACCTTCAATCAGCCTTAAGTTATTTAGATAGTGGGAGGTTACTGAAATCAGCCTTAAGTTATTTAGATAGTGGGAGGTTACTGAAATCAGCCTTAAGTTATTTAGATAGTGGGAGGTTACTGAAATCAGCCTTAAGTTATGTAGATAGTGGGAGGTTACTGAAATCAGCCTTAAGTTATGTAGATAGTGGGAGGTTACTGAAATCAGCCTTAAGTTATTTAGATAGTGGGAGGTTACTGAAATCAGCCTTAAGTTATGTAGCTAGTGGGAGGTTACTGAAATCAGCCTTAAGTTATGTAGATAGTGGGAGGTTACTAAAATCAGCCTTAAGTTATGTAGATAGTGGGAGGTTACTGAAATCAGCCTTAAGTTATGTAGATAGTGGGAGGTTACTGAAATCAGCCTTAAGTTATGTAGATAGTGGGAGGTTACTGAAATCAGCCTTAAGTTATTTAGGTAGGGGTCAGGTTACTGAAATCAGCCTTAAGTTATGTAGATGGTGGGAGGTTACTGAAATCAGCCTTAAGTTATTTAGGTAGGGGTCAGGTTACTGAAATCAGCCTTAAGTTATGTAGATGGTGGGAGGTTACTGAAATCAGCCTTAAGTTATGTAGATAGTGGGAGGTTACTGAAATCAGCCTTAAGTTATTAGGTCACCTGAGCCGAAGGCACAAAGCATCCCCATGGGAAGCAGCTTCAAGTTTGCGAAGAAAAAATGTGTGGCACCAATAGGGGCCCCAGGAGGGGGGAAAATGGGGTAAAATTAGGTAAACCAACAGTCAGATTAAGTTCTATTTGATATTTAGGGTCCTTATAGCATGGTCTTCACAGTTTGCGAATGAAAAAAAACCACTAGGGGCTGCTCAAAATGGTCAAAAATTCAACTTTGACTGATTTCAACCAAATTTCGTAGAAAGCATCCTTTAGTGAAGGACATATGAAATTATGTTGAAAAAAGTGATTATGTCCCCTTTGGGGCCCATAAGGGGTGTAAAAGGGCCATATGTAAAAACCTTCTTTAAACGACTTCTTCTTAAGAACCATTGGATGGATTTTGACCAAACTTGGCACAAAGCATCCCCATGGGAAGTTGCTTCAAGTTTGCGAAGAAAAAGGATGTGGACCCAATAGGGGCTGCAGGAGGGGGAAAAAGGGGGTAAAATTAGGTAAATCTTTAAAAATCTTCTTCTCATGAACCTACCGTCAGATTAAATTCATATTTGATATTTAGGGTCCATATGACAAGGTCTACAAAGTTTGCGAATGAAAAATAAATCGGGTCTGAAACAGCCCCACTAGATGGCACACAAAAGGGTCAAAAATTCAACTTTGACTGATTTCAACCAAATTTCGTAGAAAGCATCCTTTAGTGAAGGACATATGAAATTATGTTGAAAAAAGTGATTATGTCCCCTTTGGGGCCCATAAGGGGTGTAAAAGGGGCCATATGTAAAAACCTTCTTTAAACGACTTCTTCTCAAGAACCATTGGATGGATTTTGATACAAACTTGGCACAAAGCATCCCCATGGGAAGCTGCTTCAAGTTTGCGAAGAAAAAGGATGTGGATCCAATAGGGGCTGCAGGAGGGGGAAAAAGGGGGTAAAATTAGGTAAATCTTTAAAAATCTTCTTCTCATGAACCTACCGTCAGATTAAATTCATATTTGATATTGAGGGTCCTTATGACAAGGTCTACAAAGTTTGCGAATGAAAAATAAATCGGGTCTGAAACAGCCCCACTAGGTGGCGCACAAAAGGGTCAAAAATTCAACTTTGACAGATTTCAACCAAATTTCGTAGAAAGCATCCTTTAGTGAAGGACATATGAAATTATGTTGAAAAAAGTGATTATGTCCCCTTTGGGGCCCATAAGGGGTGTAAAAGGGGCCATATGTAAAAACCTTCTTTAAATGACTTCTTCTCAAGAATCATTGGATGGATTTTGACCAAACTTGGCACAAGGCATCTGCATGGGAAGCCACCTCAAGTTTGTGAAGAAAAAGGGCGTGCCCCCAATAGGGACCCCAGGAGGGGGGAAAAGGGGAAACTTGATATGAATGTTCTACACAAGGTCCTGGCAAGTGTTTTAACTTTTTGGGGCGATTCAAAATCCAAGATGGCCATCCTGGCCTCTGTTTGGCTAAGACATTATGAACTTCCTCTCAAGAACCATTGGGTGGGTCATGTTCAAACTTGGTACAGATGTTTAACACATGGTCCTGCACAAGTGTTGTTACATTTTTGCAACATTTTAAAATCCCCAGATTATTCACATATATTCCTCAGGTGACCGTTAAGGCCCCTTGGGCCTCTTGTTTAGATAGTGGCAGGTTATGATAGCCCTCATTCACTTCATTTATGATAACCCTCATTTACTTTGTTTATGATAACCCTCATTTACTTCATTTATGATAACCCTCATTTACTTCATTTATGATAACCCTTGTTCACTTTGTTTATGATAACCCTCATTCACTTTGTTTATGATAACCCTCATTTACTTCATTTATGATAACCCTCATTCACTTTGTTTATGATAACCCTCATTCACTTTGTTTATGATAACCCTCATTTACTTTGTTTATGATAACCCTCATTCACTTTGTTTATGATAACCCTCATTTACTTCATTTATGATAACCCTCATTCACTTTGTATATGATAACCCTCATTTACTTTGTTTATGATAACCCTCATTGACTTTGTTTATGATAACCCTCATTGACTTTGTTTATGATAACCCTCATTCACTTCATTTATGATAACCCTCATTCACTTTGTATATGATAACCCTCATTTACTTTGTTTATGATAACCCTCATTGACTTTGTTTATGATAACCCTCATTCACTTCATTTATGATAACCCTTGTTTACTTTGTTTATGATAACCCTCATTTACTTTGTTTATGATAACCCTCATTCACTTCATTCATGATAACCTTCATTTACTTTGTTTATGATAACCCTCATTCACTTCATTTATGATAACCCTTGTTTACTTTGTATATGATAACCCTCATTTACTTTGTTTATGATAACCCTCATTTACTTTGTTTATGATAACCCTCATTCACTTTATTTATGATAACCCTCATTGACTTTGTTTATGATAACCCTCATTCACTTCATTTATGATAACCCTTGTTTACTTTGTTTATGATAACCCTCATTTACTTTGTTTATGATAACCCTCATTCACTTCATTCATGATAACCTTCATTTACTTTGTTTATGATAACCCTCATTGACTTTGTTTATGATAACCCTCATTCACTTCATTTATGATAACCCTTGTTCACTTTGTTGATGATAACCCTCATTTACTTTGTTTATGATAACCCTCATTTACTTTGTTTATGATAACTCTCATTTACTTTGTTTATGATAACCCTCATTTACTTTGTTTATGATAACCCTCATTCACTTCATTTATGATAACCCTCATTCACTTCATTTATGATAACCCTTGTTCACTTTGTTTATGATAACCCTCATTTACTTTGTTTATGATAACCCTCATTTACTTTGTTTATGATAACCCTCATTCACTTTGTTTATGATAACCCTCATTCACTTCATTTATGATAACCCTCATTTACTTTGTTTATGATAACCCTCATTCACTTCATTTATGATAACCCTCATTTACTTTGTTTATGATAACCCTCATTCACTTTGTTTATGATAACCCTTGTTCACTTTGTTTATGATAACCCTCATTTACTTTGTTTATGATAACCCTCATTCACTTTGTTTATGATAACCCTCATTCACTTTATTTATGATAACCCTCATTCACTTTGTTTATGATAACCCTCATTTACTTTTTTTATGATAATTCCCATTTACTATTGATTGTTCAGAATTTGCACCTTTCTGGCATAATGTTTATCCCCAAAGAATAATTGAAATACCTGGTCCAACTGGGGAAGGAAAAAGTATTTGTCAGTATATTCCGACAGAGGTGAAAGCTTTGCAGAGATTAATGTATTCATCAGTATACCTGTGTATTGCTTTGATTTTCAGTAACCATTCCATTCAAAACCAAAGAAAGTTTAAAGAAGGATAACAAAAAGTTATCCCGAGAACTACGTGAATTACAGCGCCGTTTCCAGGAGATCACCAATGTTATTCACCACCTGGAGCTAGACTATGAATCGTCCAAGGACAGTCCACCACCAATGAGGTATAACATGCTGAAGGAGATGATCAAGAGAACAACAACTGACGAAATCTTGGAGAAATCCCGTCCGCCATCACCCAAGGATGTCAAAGCTGCAGCCAAGCGGGCAGGGTCAGACGGTAGGGGTTAATAAGTATAACAGGGGCTGATGGTAGGGGTTAATTAGTATAACAGGGGCTGAAGGGAGGGGTCAATTAGTATAACAGGGGCTGAAGGAGGGGTTAATTAGTATAACAGGGGCTGAAGGGAGGGGTTAATTAGTATAACAGGGGCTAAAGGGAGGGGTTAATTAGTATAACAGGGGCTGAAGGAGGGGTTAATTAGTATAACAGGGGCTGAAGGGAGGGGTTAATTAGTATAACAGGGGCTAAAGGGAGGGGTTAATTAGTATAACAGGGGCTGAAGGAGGGGTTAATTAGTATAACAGGGGCAGATGGTAGGAGTTATGTAGTATAACAGTGGCTGAAGGGAGGGGTAAATTAGTATAACAGGGGCAGATGGTAGGGGTTAATTAGTATAACGGGGCTGAAGAGAGGGGTTAATTTGTGTAACAGGGGAGAAAGTTGGGATTAATTAATATAGCAGGGACATACGGGAGGAGGTAATCAATTTTACAGAGTAAGAAGGTAGGTATTTTATGTCACCTGAGACAAGTCATTTCTGGTGTCGTTTGTCCATAAACAATTTAACATTTTTTACTTCTCCTCAAAAACCCCTTAACTAATTTCAGTGAAATTTTACAGAAAAATTCAGGGGCCTGAGAGGCGGGGTCAAAAAGGGTCAAATTGACTCAGATTTCAAAATTCTTTTCCTCAACACCTAGATATGGCAGGATCAAATGCTCTTCATGGGTAGAAGTGTCTTAAGGCGCTTTACTAAAATTGTTGGTCTCACATATCCCCTTGGGGAGGGGTAAAGTTTACTGTTGTTTATATAGGCAAAAAAAGATCTGTCTTATTTCCATTGGAAATACTTCAGACTTAGTAAGAATTGTGAGTGAAGGATGACAGCTTCATGGTATGCCCATATTGATCCTGACTGAACTCCATGGGCTGATGGGTTGGGTCAAAAGGGGTCAAATTAACTTGGATTTCAAAAATCTTCATCTCAACACCTGAAATGATATAATCAAATGCTCATCATGGATAAAAGCATCTTTAGATGCTTTGATTACCAAACTGGGTCTTTCTGGAGAGGAGGTTAACTTTACTGTAATTTCTAGAGAAAAATTGCATTTTTAAGCATAACTTTATTTCCCAATGGAAATGACTTTGTAAGAATGATTAGTGCAGGATGACAGTTTTCATGCTATGTATGTATTGACACTGGCTTATTATAATCAACGTCACAATTTCTGTTTCATGGCACTTGAAAGCTACTTACATTTTAACCTTTGTAGTCATTATTGCTTATGTCAGTTAACTGTCAAGGCCGCTAGCCTTAGGCCTCTTGTTTAGGATAATGGGTCGTGGAGGTAGGGGTCAGTTAGGATGATGGTCTAAAGGTATGACTTATTAAGGATGATGGGCTAGAGGTAGGAGTTATTAAGGATGATGGGCTAGAGGTAGGATTTATTAAGGATGATGGGCTAGAGGTAGGAGTTATTAAGGATGATGGGCGAGAGGTAGGAGTTATTAAGGATGATGGGCTAGAGGTAGGAGTTATTAAGGATGATGGGCTGAAGGTAGGAGTTATTAAGGATGATGGGCTAGAGGTAGGAGTTATTAAGGATGATGGGCTAGAGGTAGGAGTTATTAAGGATGATGGGCTGAAGGTAGGAGTTATTAAGGATGATGGGCTAGAGGTAGGAGTTATTAAGGATGATGGGCTAGAGGTAGGAGTTATTAAGGATGATGGGCTGAAGGTAGGAGTTATTAAGGATGATGGGCTAGAGGTATGACTTATTAAGGATGATGGGCTAGAGGTAGGAGTTATTAAGGATGATGGGCTGAAGGTAGGAGTTATTAAGGATGATGGGCTGAAGGTAGGAGTTATTAAGGATGATGGGCTGGAGGTATGACTTATTAAGGATGATGGGCTAGAGGTATGACTTATTAAGGATGATGGGCTAGAGGTAGGAGTTATTAAGGATGATGGGCTAGAGGTAGGAGTTATTAAGGATGATGGGCTAGAGGTAGGAGTTATTAAGGATGATGGGCTGAAGGTATGACTTATTAAGGATGATGGGCTAGAGGTATGACTTATTAAGGATGATGGGCTAGAGGTAGGAGTTATTAAGGATGATGGGCTGGAGGTAGGAGTTATTAAGGATGATGGGCTAGAGGTAGGAGTTATTAAGGATGATGGGCTAGAGGTAGGAGTTATTAAGGATGATGGGCTGAAGGTATGACTTATTAAGGATGATGGGCTAGAGGTATGACTTATTAAGGATGATGGGCTGAAGGTATGACTTATTAAGGATGATGGGCTAGAGGTATGACTTATTAAGGATGATGGGCTGGAGGTAGGAGTTATTAAGGATGATGGGCTAGAGGTAGGAGTTATTAAGGATGATGGGCTGAAGGTAGGAGTTATTAAGGATGATGGGCTAGAGGTATGACTTATTAAGGATGATGGGCTAGAGGTAGGAGTTATTAAGGATGATGGGCTGAAGGTAGGAGTTATTAAGGATGATGGGCTGGAGGTATGACTTATTAAGGATGATGGGCTAGAGGTATGACTTATTAAGGATGATGGGCTAGAGGTATGACTTATTAAGGATGATGGGCTAGAGGTATGACTTATTAAGGATGATGGGCTAGAGGTAGGAGTTATTAAGGATGATGGGCTGGAGGTAGGAGTTATTAAGGATGATGGGCTAGAGGTAGGAGTTATTAAGGATGATGGGCTGGAGGTAGGAGTTATTAAGGATGATGGGCTAGAGGTATGACTTATTAAGGATGATGGGCTAGAGGTAGGAGTTATTAAGGATGATGGGCTAGAGGTAGGAGTTATTAAGGATGATGGGCTAGAGGTATGACTTATTAAGGATGATGGGCTAGAGGTAGGAGTTATTAAGGATGATGGGCTAGAGGTAGGAGTTATTAAGGATGATGGGCTAGAGGTAGGAGTTATTAAGGATGATGGGCTAGAGGTAGGAGTTATTAAGGATGATGGGCTAGAGGTATGACTTATTAAGGATGATGGGCTAGAGGTAGGAGTTATTAAGGATGATGGGCTAGAGGTAGGAGTTATTAAGGATGATGGGCTAGAGGTATGACTTATTAAGGATGATGGGCTAGAGGTATGACTTATTAAGGATGATGGGCTAGAGGTAGGAGTTATTAAGGATGATGGGCTAGAGGTAGGAGTTATTAAGGATGATGGGCTAGAGGTAGGAGTTATTAAGGATGATGGGCTAGAGGTATGACTTATTAAGGATGATGGGCTAGAGGTAGGAGTTATTAAGGATGATGGGCTAGAGGTATGACTTATTAAGGATGATGGGCTAGAGGTAGGAGTTATTAAGGATGATGGGCTAGAGGTAGGAGTTATTAAGGATGATGGGCTAGAGGTATGACTTATTAAGGATGATGGGCTAGAGGTAGGAGTTATTAAGGATGATGGGCTAGAGGTAGGAGTTATTAAGGATGATGGGCTAGAGGTAGGAGTTATTAAGGATGATGGGCTAGAGGTAGGAGTTATTAAGGATGATGGGCTAGAGGTATGACTTATTAAGGATGATGGGCTGAAGGTATGACTTATTAAGGATGATGGGCTAGAGGTATGACTTATTAAGGATGATGGGCTAGAGGTAGGAGTTATTAAGGATGATGGGCTAGAGGTAGGATTTATTAAGGATGATGGGCTAGAGGTAGGAGTTATTAAGGATGATGGGCTGAAGGTAGGAGTTATTAAGGATGATGGGCTAGAGGTAGGAGTTATTAAGGATGATGGGCTAGAGGTATGACTTATTAAGGATGATGGGCTAGAGGTAGGAGTTATTAAGGATGATGGGCTAGAGGTAGGAGTTATTAAGGATGATGGGCTAGAGGTAGGAGTTATTAAGGATGATGGGCTAGAGGTAGGAGTTATTAAGGATGATGGGCTGGAGGTAGGAGTTATTAAGGATGATGGGCTAGAGGTATGACTTATTAAGGATGATGGGTTGAAGGTATGACTTATTAAGGATGATGGGCTAGAGGTAGGAGTTATTAAGGATGATGGGCTGCAGGTATGACTTATTAAGGATGATGGGCTGGAGGTATGACTTATTAAGGATGATGGGCTAGAGGTATGACTTATTAAGGATGATGGGCTGAAGGTAGGACTTATTAAGGATGATGGGCTGGAGGTATGACTTATTAAGGATGATGGGCTAGAGGTATGACTTATTAAGGATGATGGGCTAGAGGTAGGAGTTATTAAGGATGATGGGCTAGAGGTATGACTTATTAAGGATGATGGGTTGAAGGTATGACTTATTAAGGATGATGGGCTAGAGGTAGGAGTTATTAAGGATGATGGGCTGCAGGTATGACTTATTAAGGATGATGGGCTGGAGGTATGACTTATTAAGGATGATGGGCTAGAGGTATGACTTATTAAGGATGATGGGCTAGAGGTAGGAGTTATTAAGGATGATGGGCTGAAGGTATGACTTATTAAGGATGATGGGCTAGAGGTAGGAGTTATTAAGGATGATGGGCTGAAGGTATGACTTATTAAGGATGATGGGTTGAAGGTATGACTTATTAAGGATGATGGGCTAGAGGTAGGAGTTATTAAGGATGATGGGCTGCAGGTATGACTTATTAAGGATGATGGGCTAGAGGTATGACTTATTAAGGATGATGGGCTAGAGGTAGGAGTTATTAAGGATGATGGGCTAGAGGTATGACTTATTAAGGATGATGGGCTGCAGGTATGACTTATTAAGGATAATGGGCTGCAGGTATGACTTATTAAGGATGATGGGCTAGAGGTAGGAGTTATTAAGGATGATGGGCTAGAGGTATGACTTATTAAGGATGATGGGCTGAAGGTATGACTTATTAAGGATGATGGGTTGAAGGTATGACTTATTAAGGATGATGGGCTAGAGGTAGGAGTTATTAAGGATGATGGGCTGCAGGTATGACTTATTAAGGATGATGGGCTGCAGGTATGACTTATTAAGGATGATGGGCTGCAGGTATGACTTATTAAGGATAATGGGCTGCAGGTATGACTTATTAAGGATGATGGGCTAGAGGTAGGAGTTATTAAGGATGATGGGCTGAAGGTATCACTTATTAAGGATGATGGGCTAGAGGTAGGAGTTATTAAGGATGATGGGCTGAAGGTATGACTTATTAAGGATGATGGGTTGAAGGTATGACTTATTAAGGATGATGGGCTAGAGGTAGGAGTTATTAAGGATGATGGGCTGCAGGTATGACTTATTAAGGATGATGGGCTGGAGGTATGACTTATTAAGGATGATGGGCTAGAGGTAGGAGTTATTAAGGATGATGGGCTGAAGGTATGACTTATTAAGGATGATGGGCTAGAGGTAGGAGTTATTAAGGATGATGGGCTGAAGGTATGACTTATTAAGGATGATGGGTTGAAGGTATGACTTATTAAGGATGATGGGCTAGAGGTATGACTTATTAAGGATGATGGGCTAGAGGTAGGAGTTATTAAGGATGATGGGCTGAAGGTATGACTTATTAAGGATGATGGGCTAGAGGTAGGAGTTATTAAGGATGATGGGCTGAAGGTATGACTTATTAAGGATGATGGGTTGAAGGTATGACTTATTAAGGATGATGGGCTAGAGGTAGGAGTTATTAAGGATGATGGGCTAGAGGTAGGAGTTATTAAGGATGATGGGCTGAAGGTATGACTTATTAAGGATGATGGGCTAGAGGTAGGAGTTATTAAGGATGATGGGCTGAAGGTATGACATATTAAGGATGATGGGTTGAAGGTATGACTTATTAAGGATGATGGGCTAGAGGTAGGAGTTATTAAGGATGATGGGCTAGAGGTAGGAGTTATTAAGGATGATGGGCTAGAGGTAGGAGTTATTAAGGATGATGGGCTGAAGGTAGGAGTTATTAAGGATGATGGGCTAGAGGTAGGAGTTATTAAGGATGATGGGCTAGAGGTAGGAGTTATTAAGGATGATGGGCTAGAGGTAGGAGTTATTAAGGATGATGGGCTAGAGGTAGGAGTTATTAAGGATGATGGGCTGAAGGTATGACTTATCAAGGATGATGGGCTAGAGGTAGGAGTTATTAAGGATGATGGGCTAGAGGTAGGAGTTATTAAGGATGATGGGCTAGAGGTAGGAGTTATTAAGGATGATGGGCTGAAGGTAGGAGTTATTAAGGATGATGGGCTAGAGGTAGGAGTTATTAAGGATGATGGGCTAGAGGTAGGAGTTATTAAGGATGATGGGCTAGAGGTAGGAGTTATTAAGGATGATGGGCTAGAGGTAGGAGTTATTAAGGATGATGGGCTGAAGGTATGACTTATCAAGGATGATGGGCTAGAGGTAGGAGTTATTAAGGATGATGGGCTAGAGGTAGGAGTTATTAAGGATGATGGGCTAGAGGTAGGAGTTATTAAGGATGATGGGCTGAAGGTAGGAGTTATTAAGGATGATGGGCTAGAGGTAGGAGTTATTAAGGATGATGGGCTAGAGGTAGGAGTTATCAAGGATGATGGGCTAGAGGTAGGAGTTATTAAGGATGATGGGCTAGAGGTAGGAGTTATTAAGGATGATGGGCTAGAGGTAGGGGTCAGTTAGGATGATGGTCTAAAGGTATGACTTATTAAGGATGATGGGCTAGAGGTAGGAGTTATTAAGGATGACGGGCTAGAGGTAGGAGTTATTAAGGATGATGGGCTAGAGGTAGGAGTTATTAAGGATGATGGGCTAGAGGTATGACTTATTAAGGATGATGGGCTGGAGGTAGGAGTTATTAAGGATGATGGGCTAGAGGTAGGAGTTATTAAGGATGATGGGCTAGAGGTAGGAGTTATTAAGGATGATGGGCTAGAGGTATGACTTATTAAGGATGATGGGCTGGAGGTATGACTTATTAAGGATGATAGACCATTTACACTGAAGTCCTGTAGTTTTTTCGTACTAAATCACCTAACTGATGACAATCATTTGTATTTCCAGCCATCAAAAGTCATTGCCTTTAACAAAACTTGTATCTAACCTATCTTATACATCTTATGTTAAACTATTTAGGTACATTTCTGTATTTATAAGATTAAATGTGTTGAATAGGACCTGAAGGAAGTATGTGACTGTCTTTACAGATTTAGTAGTTACACCAAGACACTTTGCAGGGTCTGTCGGATCTAATGACTCTCACATGTCACGTGATTCTCCATCTCATACAAGGCAGTCAAGCAGAGGAGCGCTTGAAGGTACCACAAGTGGCTTGCTGGCATCATGTAAGGGGTTTGCAGGGTTGTCTGATCACACAGCGGGCGTCACAGAAAACAAAATAGGTAAATGTTTGTTCACAGCTTGTTCTGTGACAATTTATCTTCGTGTTTTCTAAGTTACAAATCCAGAGGATGTCAGAGTCAGCTGATGTTCTACTATAGCCTAGTTCACCAACCACCTGACAAATCAAAATGTTCCTACCTAGAAAACAAAGTTAATACAAAATGTTGCTTACTTTGCAGCGCCGCGTGAAATGCGAATGTCTAAGAAAGAGGTGGCGACCGACAATGACCAGATAAACAAGGAAATCGTGGGATTTGAGAGTCGTTTTCTTAGAGCTCACAATAGACTCACAAAGCTACGACAAGATTACGAAAACTCCAAAGAAATGATGTTTCCGAGGAGATATGCAGCCATGAAAAACATGATCAAAGTTGTGATTCAGGACAAGAAATTGACATCCTGATGGCCATCAGTGGTTAGTGTTGTGATGACATCCTGATGGCCATCAGTGGTTAGTGTTGTGATGACATCCTGATGGTCATCAGTGGTTAGTGTTGTGATGACATCCTGATGGCCATCAGTGGTTAGTGTTGTGATGACATCCTGATGGCCATCAGTAGTTTCTGGAACTTGGCCCTGCAACTGCTTGGATGCTTCCTACCCTGGCTTTGAAAATCAGCTTCGCATATACAAATATTAAATCCATATAAATCTTGCCTTTTATGTGCAATAATTCAAATCCATAAAAGGTTTTGAATCTGTTGACCTTGTACTAACCTTACCACTGCCTGTGCCTGTATCAATAATATCGGTGTCCTTAATCTATATTTTACTGTTGATGGTTTCATATCCAAAATGTATTTACCGGTTCAGAAATTCAGTTTTACTTTCATCCACAAGTGCTAATACACCTGAGAATGATATTACAGGTTGGTATTAGGTGTATATCATTGAATGTCTTGAGAAAATATCAAGTATATATACAACAATAACTATTATGTATATAGTGTTACAGACTGTGGTGTTGATAGCTTTTATATATAAAACATATATTCTGAAGGATATTTTGTTAAAATGACATTTATTGGTGAGGTGTTTGATCTCGATCGATCTGTTACAACATTTAATCCATGTTTTGTTTTCTTTTGATTGTTACTGTTTAAATATAGTACATGTTAATCTTAATCTAACATCTTTCAGTTTGAGGATCAGTTGTTTGATCTGAATGTCATCTTAATCTTGGGATTCCTGACCAAATATCTGATAATCATACATTCAGATTTGATTTTACAGGGAACTGTGGGTTTAGGGTTGAAGGGAGACAACTCCTCTTGTACAAAATTTTTCTTATCCGCCCACAACTGTTTGACACAAAATCCTATCCCTATTGTTCTCTACATATAGATACACGTAAAAAAGAAAACAAATTGATAAGGTAAAAAGGAGGATTCTGACACATTGATCTTGTATCAAGATAAATTGACATTTGCTGACCATCATACCAAGGGCAGATTTTAATTCTCAGTTTATTTTGATGTGGGTTTTTTTTTTCATTTTTTTGGTGCCGACAATAATTCACCATTTCCTACAGATTTACTTTCAGTGAGGTCATTACTTAGTAGTATAAAATAATCAGTAAGTTACAAATGTTTGGTGCTATGTTTAGTGTAGCAAGGGTGTCATACTGGTCTGTAAATATACTGTGGAAGGGCCATCTAGTAAGGGTGTCGTACTGGTCTGTAAATGTACTGTGGAAGGGCCATCTAGTAAGGGTGTCGTACTGGTCTGTAAATGTACTGTGGAAGGGCCATCTAGTAAGGGTGTCGTACTGGTCTGTAAATGTACTGTGGAAGGGCCATCTAGTAAGGGTGTCGTACTGGTCTGTAAATGTACTGTGGAAGGGCCATCTAGTAAGGGTGTCGTACTGGTCTATAAATGTACTGTGGAAGGGCCATCTAGTAAGGGTGTCGTACTGGTCTGTAAATGTACTGTGGAAGGGCCATCTAGTAAGGGTGTCATACTGATCTGTAAATCTCATATTTCTAGCTCTGTATTTTGAGTACTATCATAAATCTCATATCTCTAGCTCTGTGTTTTGAGTACTATCACAAATCTCATATCTCTAGCTCTGTGTGTGAAGTACTATCACGAATCTCATATTTCTAGCTCTGTGTGTGTAGTACTATCACAAATCTCATATCTCTAGCTCTGTGTGTGTAGTACTATCACAAATCTCATACCTCTAGCTCTGTGTGTGTAGTACTATCACAAATCTCATATTTCTAGCTCTGTGTTTTGAGTACTATCATAAATCTCATATCTCTAGCTCTGTGTGTGTATTACTATCACAAATCTCATATCTCTAGCTCTGTGTGTGTAGTACTATCACAAATCTCATATCTCTAGCTCTGTGTGTGTAGTACTAACACAAATCTCATATTTCTAGATCTGTGTTTTGAGTACTATCACAAATCTCATATTTCTAGCTCTGTGTTTTGAGTACTATCAAGAATCTCATATTTCTAGCTCTGTGTGTGTAGTACTATCACAAATCTCATACCCCTAGCTCTGTGTGTGTAGTACTATCACAAATCTCATATTTCTAGCTCTGTGTGTGTATTACTATCACAAATCTCATATCTCTAGCTCTGTGTGTGTAGTACTATCACAAATCTCATATCTCTAGCTCTGTGTGTGTAGTACTATCACAAATCTCATATCTCTAGCTCTGTGTGTGTAGTACTATCACAAATCTCATATCTCTAGCTCTGTGTGTGTAGTACTATCACAAATCTCATATCTCTAGCTCTGTGTGTGTAGTACTATCACAAATCTCATACCTCTAGCTCTGTGTGTGTAGTACTATCACAAATCTCATATCTCTAGCTCTGTGTGTGTAGTACTATCACAAATCTCATATCTCTAGCTGTGTCTGTGTAGTACTATCATAAATCTTGTATTTCTAGCTCTGTGTGTGTAGTACTATCACAAATCTCATATTTCTAGCTCTGTGTGTGTAGTACTATCACGAATCTTGTATCTCTAGCTCTGTGTGTGTAGTACTATCACAAATCTCATATTTCTTGCTCTGTGTGTGTAGTACTATCACGAATCTTGTATCTCTAGCTCTGTGTGTGTAGTACTATCACAAATCTCATATTTCTAGCTCTGTGTGTGTAGTACTATCACGAATCTTGTATCTCTAGCTCTGTGTGTGTAGTACTATCACGAATCTTGTATCTCTAGCTCTGTGTGTGTAGTACTATCATAAATCTTGTATTTCTAGCTCTGTGTGTGTAGTACTATCACAAATCTCATATTTCTAGCTCTGTGTGTGTAGTACTATCACGAATCTTGTATCTCTAGCTCTGTGTGTGTAGTACTATCACAAATCTCATATTTCTAGCTCTGTGTGTGTAGTACTATCACGAATCTTGTATCTCTAGCTCTGTGTGTGTAGTACTATCACAAATCTCATATTTCTAGCTCTGTGTGTGTAGTACTATCACGAATCTTGTATCTCTAGCTCTGTGTGTGTAGTACTATCACGAATCTTGTATCTCTAGCTCTGTGTGTGTAGTACTATCACGAATCTTGTATCTCTAGCTCTGTGTGTGTAGTACTATCACGAATCTTGTATCTCTAGCTGTGTCTGTGTAGTACTATCACGAATCTTGTATCTCTAGCTGTGTCTGTGTAGTACTATCACAAATCTCATACCTCTAGCTCTGTGTGTGTTGTACTATCACAAATCTCATATTTCTAGCTCTGTGTTTTGAGTACTATCACGAATCTTGTATCTCTAGCTCTGTGTGTGTAGTACTATCACGAATCTTGTATCTCTAGCTCTGTGTGTGTAGTACTATCACAAATCTTGTATCTCTAGCTGTGTCTGTGTAGTACTATCACGAATCTTGTATCTCTAGCTGTGTCTGTGTAGTACTATCACAAATCTCATACCTCTAGCTCTGTGTGTGTAGTACTATCACGAATCTTGTATCTCTAGCTCTGTGTGTGTAGTACTATCACAAATCTTGTATCTCTAGCTCTGTGTATGTAGTACTATCACAAATCTCATACCTCTAGCTCTGTGTATGTAGTACTATCACAAATCTCATACCTCTAGCTCTGTGTGTGTAGTACTATCACGAATCTTGTATCTCTAGCTCTGTGTGTGTAGTACTATCACAAATCTTGTGTTTCTAGCTCTGTGTGTGTAGTACTATCACAAATCTCATACCTCTAGCTCTGTGTGTGTAGTACTATCACAAATCTCATATCTCTAGCTCTGTGTGTGTAGTACTATCACAAATCTCATATCTCTAGCTCTGTGTGTGTAGTACTATCACAAATCTCATACCTCTAGCTCTGTGTGTGTAGTACTATCACAAATCTTGTGTTTCTAGCTCTGTGTGTTTAGTACTATCACAAATCTCATACCTCTAGCTCTGTGTGTGTAGTACTATCACAAATCTTGTATGTCTAGCTCTGTGTGTGTAGTACTATCACAAATCTCATACCTCTAGCTCTGTGTGTGTAGTACTATCACAAATCTCATATCTCTAGCTCTGTGTGTGTAGTACTATCACAAATCTTGTATGTCTAGCTCTGTGTGTGTAGTACTATCACAAATCTTGTATGTCTAGCTCTGTGTGTGTAGTACTATCACAAATCTTGTATGTCTAGCTCTGTGTGTGTAGTACTATCACGAATCTTGTATCTCTAGCTCTGTGTGTGTAGTACTATCACAAATCTCATATCTCTAGCTCTGTGTGTGTAGTACTATCACAAATCTTGTATCTCTAGCTCTGTGTGTGTAGTACTATCACAAATCTTGTATGTCTAGCTCTGTGTGAGTAGTACTATCACGAATCTTGTATCTCTAGCTCTGTGTGTGTAGTACTATCACAAATCTCATACCTCTAGCTCTGTGTGTGTAGTACTATCACGAATCTTGTATCTCTAGCTCTGTGTGTGTAGTACTATCACAAATCTCATATCTCTAGCTCTGTGTGTGTAGTACTATCACAAATCTCATATTTCTAGCTCTGTGTGTGTAGTACTATCACGAATCTTGTATCTCTAGCTCTGTGTGTGTAGTACTATCACGAATCTTGTATGTCTAGCTCTGTGTGTGTAGTACTATCACGAATCTTGTATCTCTAGCTCTGTGTGTGTAGTACTATCACAAATCTCATACCTCTAGCTCTGTGTGTGTAGTACTATCACAAATCTCATACCTCTAGCTCTGTGTGTGTAGTACTATCACAAATCTTGTATCTCTAGCTCTGTCTGTGTAGTACTATCACAAATCTTGTGTTTCTGTAACTAGATCTGATTATATGAATGTAATTATTTGTTATCAATGGAGGGATTTTGTGCCATGTTTTGCCTTTTCCATGCACCCCTGTGGTACTATGTGCCTGATCTAGCATTCCCATATTTTAATTTGTTATGTTCCCCAAAAATGTTCTGGTTGGCATACAGTTGCTACTTCTGCATCCGTCCATCATTCCAGCTATGTTTCTGCTGGTCTTTTTTGAATCTGCAACATAACTTTGCCCATAGTTCAGCAATTATCATGAAACTTTGTGTGTATATCAGTTACAATATGGCAATGTGTAGTGAACTAGAGACCATGACCTCTTTCT